GCTGTAACAGTATGTGTGGTCATCTCCCAGAGTAATATAACAACACTTGATCATCCTATACGGTCTTGTGAATTACGTTTCTAGTGTGGTCTCATAACCCACTGATGTAGATGAAATGGGATACCATATTCATCAAATACTCAGATAGATCGAGAGCCTCTATGACTTACACCGCCCAAGGAAGCTCCTAGTTGTGTATTCAAACCCTTAATGTAAACGATTCACTAGGTGGGATAATTCTCCATGACAAATGAACAAGGATATGTGAGGATCGATCGGGATAGGTATGTATGGATCGAAGTTTCTATATATATATATGTATGTATGTATATATATTATAACATTAGGGGATTGAAAACCCTACGTAACTCACCAGGTTTCCCAACGTGACCCACTCATTTTATATGAATCACAAGTATCGGTGTTTAGACAGTTCAAGACTTAAATAAGATGCTGATCATTTCCCACCCTTTGAGTCCAATTTTACTAAGCTTCTAACTACTTTAGCAAGGCTCTAAGGTATCTAGGAGCCGGGCAAAAAGGAGCTTTCAGATCGAGATTCTACCAACGACTTTCCTACTTTTCGGTAGACATTTATGTAAGATAAGCTACACTTCTTACACTTTAAGTGTAACTTATATTACAATCATAGTCATTATTATGAATTTATAAATAAGATTTATCATTGATTCCATTCATAATATTGATTGATCTACTTACAAGAATGACGTATTGAAAGACCCCAACACCAAAATTACCATAAAGCCAAACATGCTACATGCATATTCATAATTATAATTCACATTAGTGGTCTAAATACAAAAGCATGGATAGAAACCAACTAACAAGGTTTTTATAAAGTTTCATAACTAGTTGTATAAATACATAACTACCCATGAATTTATAATACATATGCATATATGTATACCAAGTACAAACGTAGTAGTGTAAACTACTCTAAGTCCTCCAACAAAGCATGTCTACTCTGGAAGCTTATCACCTGAAATAGTTAAACACTGAGAGGGATAAGTGAGCGTCGCTTAGTGAGTTCAAAAATAGATACCATATAATGTTATGCCATATACATAACAATATGACAGAAACCAAAAGAAACAAAGAACAACAAAGGATTATATGTGTATCAAATGAAGGGCTTTCCAGATCAATCAATGGTTAGCTTCAAGGGATTACAATCAATGAGACACAATAATTTTATGATCATAAAAATCATAAATTTCAGCCCAAGAGGCACATAAAACTCAATTGCTTTTTATCATGTTGCTAGAATATACAGGCTTTCTGCCCTACCTAGCCCGAAGCCAATACCAAAGTGATACGAGTCATGCTCTACATGGCCAAAGGCAAAAAGCCAATACCAAATTGATACGAGTCATGCTATACATGGACAAAGGAATCAAAATCCAGTATCAAGTAATAATCACTTAGATCAATATCACAAGAAAACACATTGCACATATAACACATAACATACAATTGTCCCTATATTGAACTTACTGTGCTGTAACCGAATGTTGCGATAAAATTCCTCTTTTTCTGATGCAATTACACCATCATCAGGCCTATAGAACCTTCAATTATACCCCTGGAGTTAATATTTCAAATTTCATAAGCAATTACTCAACTAATCTCAAGTTATGTTGTTTTCAATTTAGAAATTTTAGTTTTTGTTCTATGTATAGCTGTCACTTGCAGATCTGTTTTACCCTTCTTAAATATCAAAATAACTAATAAATTCTAAATATTAACAAAATAGACTCTTATATATTTCTAATGCTACTAACCTCACATTTTTATGATTTTTCTATAATTTACAATGAATTTTACAACACAGCATCCCAAAGCTGTCAAAATGTCTCAAAGCTGTCAAAATTCAGCCTTACTCCACTGAACATATAGTTGATTTCACCCATCTTAAGTCCGAAATTAGATTTTGGTGTTAAAACCGGAATCAAATTAGACATTCTCAGCTTTCTAGGGATATATAGCACATATCCATACGATGTTTCTACAATACTTGGTGATTTTTACAAAAACAGGACAATTATACCCTTTATGATTTCATTTTACCCTTTACACGATCAAACCTCATGATCAATATCACTAAGTACTTGTTTTACAATGATAACATTGAATATTTTAGTAATCCTCTCTAATTTAAGTATAAACCATGGGTTTCATTGCTAATTCTCACTAATTACTCTTAAACCATGATTAATTCTCAAGTTTACATGTAGTTACTTAATTTCCATTTAAGATTCTAGGTTAATAACATAAACTCATGCCTAATTTCATGAAATCAGTGGTAAACCCACTTTGATCAAACTCTAATCTCTTAATAACTCACAAATTACAAGGGTTAATCCAAAAATTAAGAGTTCATACCCTGATTACTAGACTTGATACTTCAAGACCACTCAAAATCTTGATTTAATCTTCAAAACTTGTTCAAGATTGATCATGTACGTGAAAATGTCCCATAGGGATGGTGAGGAACTAAAAATGGCTGAAAAATGAGCCAAAATCGTGTTTTAATGGGTAAAAACCCGAGTTGGGTCGGGTTTGACCCGGTTTGGGTACCCGTTTTACTCCTAAACGTTAAAAATTGCATAACTTTTCGCTCGGAACTCCGTTTTCGATGAGGTTTTCGCCTATACGTTTCTAACGAGATAATTTAAAACTTCCAATAGAAATATCACAGAAAAGATATTCCAATAAAATCAGTTTTACTTATTTCCAACTTAGACGTTATACTTTCGTTAATTCCCATAGTTGACTTTTTGATTGGAATCACATAAGACTTCCTATCACTTCCAATACCTTCCAAATGATTCTAAACTTAGTTTAACTTCAAATATTATAAAAATATTTCGTTAAACTCAACGCTTAAAACCATACTGAAATATGATAATTTAACCACATAATATCTCATAATATTCATTTTTTTTAAACTAACGAGCATATGAAATATGATAATTTAACAAGGTTAGTAAAGTGTATGTTACAAATACTTTCTCCTTTTGAGAATTTCGTCCCCGAAATCATGACGATTTAAACAAGTGGGGATATTTTTCTCTTATCTCGTTCTTATTTTCCCAAGTATAATTTGGGCCTCGATGATGTTTCCACTTGACAAGCACCAAATCCACTTCTTTATTACACAAATCAATCGTTCTCTCATTTATAATCTCTTCGGGTTATTCTACATATCTTAATTTATCATCCAGTTTCACCTCGGATAACGGAACTGTTTCATCATATATGGTCAAACATTTACATAGATAACTCACATGAAGCACATCATGAATACCTGCCAAATTTTCAGGCAATTCCAAACGGTATTCTTTCTTACTAATTCTCTGGATGATTTTGAAAGGGCCAACAAATCTAGGACTCCATTTTCCTTTCTTTCCAAATCGCACAATGCCTTTCCATGGGGATACCTTCAGCATTACAAAATCACCCACCTAGAATTATATGGGTCGTCTTCTCTTTTCTGCATCTGACTTTTTTCGATCCTGGGTTGCTTTCATTCTTTCTCGTACAATTTGAATCTTATTAGTGGTGTCTTGAATCATTTCAGGCCCACCAAGGATTTTCTGTCCTACATCACGCCCATACAGTGCTTCAAATGGTGGCATTTTAATTGAAGTATGGTAACTATTATTATATGAAAATTCAACAAGAGGTAAGTATTTGTCCCAGTTACCACCAAACTCCAAGACACAGGCATGAAGCATATCTTCCACTGTTTGGACTGTTGTCTGAGTCTGACCATCTGTTTGGGGATGATAAGCTGTGTTGAGAGCAACACGAGATCCCAATTCACGTTGCATACCTGCCCAAAAATGAGAAGTGAAGCGAGTATCACAATCTGAAATAATCTTTAGTGGCACACCATGTCTCGCAACAATTTCATCCAAGTATACTTGTGCGTATTTCTCCATTGGAGCTATTTCACGCATGGCAAGAAAATGTGCACTCTTAGTCACTCGGTCGACAATTACACAAATGCTATCATTTTGTCTTGCAGTCTTTGGCAATTTGGTAATAAAATCCATGGACAACTCTTCCCATTTGCACACGGGGACACTAATACCTTTTGGACTTCCGTATGACTTTTGGTGCTCTGCTTTGACTTATAAGCATACTAAACATTCCTGCACATATATATCTTCCAATGTCTCTCTTTAACACAGGCCACTAATAATCAGCCTGTACATCATAATACATTTTACTATTACCTGGGTGTATTGATAACTTAGACTTATGGGCTTTATCTAAAATCTTCTGTCTCAATCCACCAATCTTTGGAATGCATAGCCGATTCTTAAATACTTCCAGTCCGCGTGCACTACTAGAAAAACAACCTTTTACAACGCGCAATGCGCGTCGTAAAACGCTCAGACGACGCGCAAATACGTGTCAAGGAAGGCCTTGTCATAACGAGAGACGACACGCTTTTGCGCGTCGTCAATAGACGACACGCTTTTGCGCGTCGTCAATAGACGACGCGTATTTACGACGCGCGTTTACGACATGCTTTTACGACGCGCAATGCGTATCAAGGAAGGCCCTGTCATAAAGGAAGACGAGACGCATTTGCTTGTCGTAACCTTACGACACGCGTGTTTATGACACGCAATGCGTATCAAGGAATCCCATGTCATAAAAGAAGAAGACACGCATTTTTGTGTGTCATAATTTTAAATGTTTTTAAAATTATATATTTTTGATAGATTTACTAATTTTCAAATTAAATAACACATTAAAAGTCTCATAATACAAAATAAAATACCATAAACAATATAGATAATTCATTGCACTAATATGTCAAATACAAATAATCATTCCAATAGTAAGTAAATGTAACACATTGCTAATATTGCATAATATTTATTATAAAAAACAAAACATGTACAACATTAAAAGAAACCCATGCCTAAATTCTCTTTTGACAATCTCCTTTAACAATTTCCTTTCTAAAAGAATAACCTGATGCAGGAACTTTGAGAGGCTTCAGGGCATGGAAGGAGGTTACTAGAGCTATCAGAACCTGCACATGGCAAATCGGTAACTTAACATGCAATACAATACAAGATGATATGATAGAGCTGGTATGGCATCCAACTATATATTTTTTTTTTCTATTTTCTTTGCCAATGCCAATTAGGCCACTAAGCTTAGGAAAATGATTCTTTGGATCATTTTTTAAATAGGATTTTGAATATATGGTTAGCAAGTGCTGATGTGGGTGATAATCAACATTAAAATTGTAAATGCAGTGACATATTTAACATAAAAATTATAAATTCAAAAGTCATTTCCATTATGTCTCCAAGTTTGTGTGTTCATTTGATATAAATTATAAATTCAAAATCTCTCATAAATGATAAGATTTACGTATTATATAAAAATCAGGTCAAAACAGGAAGTGAGGTAGATAACATACCTGACTTGAGTATTTCTTTTCCTTGAATATTAAAAATAAAGCTGCAATTCTCTGTGATCAAACGTCTCTACCTAATGTCCCGAATCTGAAATTCTTCAACTTCCATTTGAAAGAATTTCAGCAACTGAGTGTTGATGTCTTTTAGCTTCAGTGAGTAAGTGAACTTCTTGATGATTAATGTGAATATTTGAAGAACAGATGCTATCGTAAAAGATGTTAAACGGTGAATTTTGCTATTCTTACATATCCAATAAGATTGAAAGTACGGTCATGATGACCGAACCTGCTATTTCTTCTTCCACTGAGGATTTCCAAGATCAAGACTCCAAAGCTGAAGATATCAGACTTGATAGAGAAAGTCCCTTCCATTGCATACTCAGGAGACATATAACCACCAATACAACAAGATCGATATGACATTTCAATAATTGACCATGGAAACATATAAATTAATTGTAATTTTGATATTGTAACTTTGTAACTAAGACAACTTACTAAGTTCCAACCACCCTGTTAGTGATTGCCTCGGTCTCATTCTGCTTGATTATTCTTGCCATACCAAAATCAGAAATCTTCGGGTTCATACTCTCATCTAAAAGAATGTTGCTAGCTTTTAGATCTCGATGAATAACTCTCATCTGTGAGTACTTATGCAGGTATAACAACCCTTGAGCAATTCCTTCAATTATGTCGAATCGTTTACGCCAATCCAACTCTGTCTTCTGTTTTCATCTGCAAGACATCGAATGAAAAGAGACTTTTACGAAAATATCAAAAGTAAACCATTGTATACATTTATGTTACAAACATTTCATACCAAAGAGGAAGAAATCTAAGCTTTTGTTGGGCATATATTCGTATATTAACATCTTTTTTTCACCATGAATGCAACAACCAAGAACCCGAACAAGATTTGTATGCTGGAGTTTAGCAATAAGTACTAGTTCATTCTTGAATTCCATGAGCCCTTGCCCTGATGTTCTTGAAATCCTTTTGATTGCAATTTCTCGTCCATCACTTAGTCTTCCCTGTTTTTTATAATTTCATGATATCTCTTTTTTTCAGAGTAGAGGTACAAATGCAAAAACATAAAACATGCATCAAATTAGTTTAAAGTAGCATAACCTTGTAAACAGGTCCAAAACCACCTTGTCCGTCTCTCGTATTCTACGATCAGTATTAATGACTTAACAAAATAGGCAAACTATATCGTACAAACAGAAGCTAGAATTATCATCATTTCTAATTATATACCTTTTCGTTTATGCTTTCTCTTCTTTATATACCATAAAATGCCAAAACATAGGAAAAAGAGAGGAATGACAACGCCAATGAGTATCCATTCCCAATTCTTGCTCTTTTCTATTTTGGTACCTGCATATTGACTTGTTTAGATTCTAAAATGATCAGAAGGTAGCTAAAATCATTGGAAATTAAAATTATTACCTGTACTTAGATTGATTGAATTTTGGTTGATCACATACTTTAAAGTAGAGTTATCACGAGGATTAACTAAAAAGTTATTACATGCAGTCCATATAACACAGCCAGTTCCATTGATGCTACTACTATTAAACCCCACACAAGTGCAATCATTCCAACACTTAAGAAAACAATCGCTAATACTTAAACTCAAGTTGTCATCAATACAGGTAAATATATGAGTCGACCCATAACCGGATACATTGTAGCTGCAACCTGTCCTACCCCAGATACGATCCGACCACCCAACCGGAGCTTGAAAAGAACGTGCAGTACCCTTTGTTAGCTCGAATCCAGTATTGGAATCAGTCCAGCCATTGACTCCAGGCTAAACAGTGAACCCACAGTCATTTACAAAAGTAAAAGTAGTCCCTGAAGGTTCAAAAGAAATCAACATTCACCAAATGAAAGTTGGGTTTTTTTTCCTTTTGTTTTTTACCGAAAATAAAATTCTAAAATCTATATAGAAAGATTGATGACTTCACCTTGCGACCTTGAAGTTCCACTTGCACTGCAATTTTTCTTTTTACAGTGGTAAGTTCCCTCAAGACTCGTATCATATCACCACCTTTTTCACCTCCATCTGATAAATTCTGCAAGTCTTCCTAAACAAGAAAAAAAATTAAGGGGAATGCAAGGAGTCTAATATTTTGACAAAATTAAGTAACCAGTGATGATAAATTACTGCTTCTCTTAACTTCAAAAATAAGCACATAGATGCTCATAACTCATAAAAGCATCTGAGGGTTGCTTTTAGCAAAAAGAACCAAAATCTGCAAGTTTTAGTTGTCCACGAGGTCCTATCAATAGATTATTTGGTTTCATATCCCTAAAAATAATAACAAAAACAAGTAAACTATTATTATTAATTACATTTATAACATTATTAGCAACTTGAAGAAACACAAGCCACCAACACAAGCAAGGGTTATTTGGTTTCATGTCTCCAGATCTCCAATAGAATTTGAAAGAGAAAAGCCACCAGGCCAGCATCTCATGGGACCAATCTGTCATGACCATGACATAAACAAAACTCATTTTAATAAAACATATTTCATTAAAATAACAAGCCAAAATACAAATCATTAATTTCAATTGATAAAACTTAATTTAAGGATAAAATAGATTTACCTAATATGCTATAAACGGTCAAGTGTTCCAATTTTTCATATGATCTTGTGCAGCCCTATATTGAGATATGAGGATATGGAAATGAGGAGAGGAAGTGAGTGTTGCCAGGAGGCTTTGAACATACATTTTTGCTGTCAAATATGTGGATCATGGGGTTTGCTGTCAAAAAATTTGGGGACCACGTCTGGTTGATCAAAGCTGATTGTGATTCGCTACCGAATTCATGTATTTCAGTTCGCCTTAATCTGATGTCAAACAATCTGATGTGCCTCTATGGAGTATTGCAAATACATACAAATTGTAATATAAACATTAATAAAATATTCAACTTTTTTTATATTAACTGTTTTCACTTTCATTTTCACCTGGTTTGAACCATGGAAAGATTGAAGTCACAAGGATTTGGTAGACACTCATACATTTGCTTTCAATCTGATGCTTGTAATCCGCTCTTCCAGTTTGTAAATCGAATCCAATTATCCTTTTATCAGCACCTACAGAAACCACCATCTGTTTTTGTTGCATCCCTGAAACTCCCATACTAGCTGAAGAATGCATACTTTTGTGCAACACTTTGTTGGAAATCAGGCCCTCTCTACTGCTATAAATCTGCACACAAACGAAATAGAGAGATAGAGAAATATAAGAAGGAAAAAGTATCTGCAAAAGTTACTCTTATTATATCTTCATGCTATCACTTAAAGGCTATATATAAGCCTTCCATACATCACGTGGGAGCTACAAAAGAAAACAATTAAACTACTATTCTTTCCTAAAAACCTGGTAATTGGAGTGACTTCTTCTACCACTCAATACACTCCCTAAGACTCGGTCATAGCTTTACCATATCCTTTTATTCAAAAATAAACATGCATAATAAACCTACATGACCCATGAACCAAATGAACTTGACCCATCTAAATTACCCAATTAACCTGACTTGAAACTGCATCAAGATTAACCCAACACACTTTTGGTTTCCAAGAATCATCCCCGTTTTTATCACTCCATTGAACCACAACATGATCACTTCCACCAGTTACAAAACAAGTATCTTCCCATGGCATGAATGATATGGTGTTGATGATGCCCTTCGCATGTGGTTTATCTTCAAGGAAAGTTACACAATTTTTCTCTTTTGGTTTATTCAGGTTGAGGACTGATATTTGAGGGTCGCCACCATCAGCAGTGTAGACAGAAAATAGGCTGCCGCCATGTGGATGCCATGCTACATCTTCCGGCCACCTTCTGTGTTTGGTGGATGCACAGTCGGCTGTACTAAGAAGATATGCACTTGATCTGTTTTTTGTTTTTTTTAAAAAAACACACCAAATTAGAAACTTATAAAATCAAAGAATATGTTTCTTTCATTCCTTCACCTAAAGTTTTGGTGTCACTTGGTACACAAATTGAATTGCGTAATGTTCTATTTTAGCCTTCATTTCTGATGTCAACATTAAGAACAAAAACTTCATGAATTTTACCAACATGCCACCGGGTGTTGTCTACATATCATCTTTCGTGTCTCTTACATAAAGAAGCATCATAATACAAATTCAAAAATAGTAACATGAAACAGATAAAAGATAAAGAACATACCCTCTGGATTGAAGTTGCCACAGATTTACAAGTCCATCCAGATGGTTTGTACCTACCCTCGGGTTCAGCGGGCCCCATGATCCACATATTTGACATTAGGTTTAATGCCAACAAACCCTCGCAGTCAATTGGAGCTCACCAGAAACGTGTGTTCAAAGCCTTAGAGTGGAGGTAACCACACGATATGATAATTGGGTTTGTTGTTTTATTGAATTCAAAGATAGCGAGACTAGAATATTATCATATGAGTTAATGAGAGTGCAAGTTACTGTTTTTTATTCCTTCAATAAGATCATCACCACCCAACAAATCAGCTCCTGCAGCTCTAGCCTCATCTGCAGCTGCTCCATCAGCAAACATAGCCACACGCAAGGCCTACAATCGAACATAGGGCTTGTAAGGATGACAAAAAATCACGGGTAACAAATGTTGTGTGGAATAAGAAGCCGTAATGCCGTAAATCACCAACTCTAGGATAGAAGTAGCTAGAGGAGGTGTGACACTGCGGTAATGGTCGACGATTGAACATTGATGGTCGGCGTGAGTGGGAGTCGAGCAAAACCAACGAATCGATTGAACAGGGAGAACAGATTGAGGAAGGGTTATGTGATACGAACTCGAAACCCTAGTTCAAGAAATAGTCGATTTTGTGGCCCTATGAATGTAAAGTGTTCGATTTCTTGTGAGAAATGAAGCGATATAGATCGATCTATGGAGGATGTGGGTCGTTCTTTGAGGGATGAAAAAACCCTAGTTTCCTAGACTTTGTGAGGACGGGGTTTTCTAATTTTTAGATTCCCGCAAGGTATTAAGGAGGGGACACGATGTTTGATGAGACCGATAAGAAGGAGGTCAGGAGTGGCGGAGAAGCGGGTCGGAGAGAAGAGAGAAGGGGGAGAGGGGAGAGTCGACTGCGAAGATGAAAGATATAAAGAAGGTAGAAGACGGGTTTTCAAAATTTTAGGGATTTCGTTTCCCCCTCTCAAACGTGCGTATTATTAAAATTATAAAGCGACAGGAATAGAGGACGCGTGTTTAAAATAAAGCACCCTCCATGTTTTTAATTTCTTTTCTTCAGACACTAATTTAAGGGCACACAATAATGCGTGACATAAATCCTTAAAATTTTTGAAGAGATGACACTTTTTTAATGTCACTCTCTTTTACGTAACATAAATCAATGAGTGTCGTGGTTTGCGCGTCGTAAAAGGGTCTTTTTCTTGTAGTGGTGGATCATCAAGGAAAATATCAACATAATGTACCATCCATTCGTTCTTCACATTTTCTGGCTTTAAGGCCTCTACTTGCCATTTTTGTAGCTCATCAAGAATAGTGAACTTTACTGTAGTGTGAGTAATAACATAACACACACTATTATGATAAACCTTTCTGCTAAGTGCATCTGCAACTATATTTGCCTTTCCATGATGATACAAGATTTTGCAGTCATAGTCTTTGATCAGCTCCATGACCTGTTGTTGTCTCATATTCAAAGTTTGATGACTGAATATATATATTTGAGACTTTTGTGGTCAGTAAACAATTGGCATTTTGTACCATAAAGATAATTCCTCCAAAGTTATAGGGCAAATACCACAGCAGCGAGCTCGGGGTCAGGAGTGGGATAGTTCTTTTCATAATCTTTTAGTTTCCTTGAGGCATAGGCTATCACTCTTCCATGTTGCATCAGCACACAACCAAGTCCCAACCTTGAAGCATCACTGTACACAGAAAAATTATTATCACCTTCTGGGAGTGATAAGACTGGAGCATGAGTCAAAAGATCTTTTAAAGTTGAGAAAACTTTTTCTTGCGCTTCACCCCATTCAAACTTTGCTTCTTTTCGTGCAAGACTTGTGAGGGGTACAACTACGCGTGAAAAATATTTAATGAATCTCCGGTAATACACTGCGAGACACAAGAAACTGCGAACTTCAGAAGCATTACGGGGCGCTTCCCAATTCTGAATGGCTTCTATTTTGGTAGGATCTACGGATATACCGTCACCAGAAATCACATGGCCAAGAAATTGAACTTGGCGAGGCCAGAATTCACATTTTGAGAATTTAGCATATACCTTATCCTTTCGTAGAAGCTTTAACATTTCACGAATATGAATGGCATGATCAGCTTCAGACTTGGAATAAATTAGAATATCATCAATGAATACGATGACAGATATATCGAGCATTGGACGGCATACCCGATTCATCATATCCATGAATACAACAGGAGCATTTGTTAAACCGAATGTCATGACAAGGAATTTAAAATGCCCATATCGAGTACGGAAAGCAGTCTTTGGTACATCCTGCTCGTGTACTTTCAACTGATGATAGTCAGACCTCATATCAATCTTCGAGAAATAGCTAGCACCCTGAAGTTGATCAAACAGGTCGTCTATGCGTGGTAGTGAGTACTTGTTTTTTTATAGTTACCTTATTTCGCTTGCGGTAATCAATACACATTCGCATCGACCCGTCCTTTTTCTTGAAAAACAATACTGGAGCACCCCAAGGAGAGGTCTCGGTCGGATAAAGCCCTTATCAAGTAATTACTGCAACTGAATCATTATTTCCTTCATCTCAGTTGGTGCAAGACGATAAGGAGTCTTTGCAATCGGAGCAGCACCAGGTATAAGGTCAATTCGGAATTCTACTTGCCTATCCGGGGGAAGTCCAGGCATATCATCAGGGAATACATCTGGATATTCATTAACAATGGGAAGATCCTTTAGCATTTTCTTCCTTTCTTTTGAGATATCAACTATATATGCCAGATAATTAGAACACCCTTTCGATATAAATTTACTAGCTTTAAGGAAAGAGTTTATTTTTAAGATTTTAAGTCTTTGTTCACCGTAGACATAAATAGGATCCTCCCCTTCGATAGAAATATGTACAATCTTTTCGTAGCACAAGAGTTCAGCACGGTTCTTTGACAACCAATCCATGCCAATAATGATATCAAGGTTGGGCAAGGAGATAGAAATCAGGTTAGCAAGAAAATTATAACTGTTAGGTAATATATGCATCAAATACACTCAATAACTAGGTAGCGGAAGAATCGAAACAACAAAACGATTTACCTAAGTGTACATGCACCCTATGGATCTATGGCTTCATACTATTACTTCTACCCTATGAAATACAAAAATACAAGGAAGAATACTAACCTCTTTAGCAGCTAATGATCTTCGAGCTTGACTCCTTGTGCGTGCCACCTTGTTTGGATGATGAGGATCCAAACCAGAATCGCTCTCTTGGTTCACACCCAATGAACTCAAAGAGTAGAAAAAAATATTAAACTAGGAGGGATGAACTATAAGGAAAGTTCTTCCATAATGAGGGAGAAAGAAGGTGGCGAATACTCAAGCCAAAAATAAGCAAGGAGTAATGAATCCCTAAGGCCCTATTTATAGCCTTGGATACCTCCTAGGGTTTTATCCTTCCATCCATGTGGGATGGGATAGGCTAAGAACGAAATTCCCTTTATCGAACGGGAGATTTCGTCCAACCCCCTTCATTCTAGGGTTCTGGAATGTTCCCTGATCAACCAACTATTGATTAATTCACATTCAACCCTTCTATTAATTAAACTGTTAATTAATTCCCAAATTGTTTTCCAATTAGTTTCTAATTAATTATTAAACAATAATAATTAATAAACTAATCACTCCTATTACTTATTCTACTCAATTTTGAGTCTTGAGGGCAAGCCAAGAGGACCCTGCTATTATTAGAAATATCACTAACTAGTTAATGACCTTGGACACACTTCCAACAGTCTCCCACTTGGACAAGTCATCAACTATATATGGTCTTATATCCATCTAATAATCAGCAGAGAGAATGCCATCCAATGCATCTGCCGAACTCTGATCTAATCAGTTTCATCCCTCAGATAAGTGATCAACTATTCCTTCATCCTCATGATATCTGTATAAATTCGAGACATGGATAATGGTCAATCTCAGAATTCAAAATTATGTTTCCCGATATAGATTTGTGACGACTACATTTTACTACTAAATCGAGCACATCAATTCTACTCAGCACCCGACCAGGTATTTTAGATGTCAGCACCAAATCATCGAGGGGCCCATAGATATCGCTTCTCCTATTAAGGCAGAAGGGACGAATAAACTTTGACTACATAGTCTTTGTCTATTTCATCATGTCACACATGAATATACCCGTTATAGCCACCAGTTACGGATAGCGTTGGAGTATACCAATGCATAACAGAATCTTAGAGCAAAGCCCCACATGTATCTCGGTTTGAAGAACAAAAAATATTATCATCTTAGAATTACTCGTGACTTAATCCATGAAGTAATCTCTAAGTGCGGGTTGATCCAATACTTAAATCACTATTAAGTACTCATAAGTGTTGACACAATCACTATGTCATGCTCAATCAAAATGGTCAATCCACCAACACTCATGACAGTCTTGAATCACTACTTACTTCCAAGAGTATGACCGACTGTGGAGATTTGAGTACTTAGTACTCGGGAAGTGGGTTCTAAACATGCAAAAGTGAAACACAGTAATAAATAAATAGAAATGATAGCAATCCAACACTTTATTAAGTCTCCACAAAATAAACATCAATTCTATTACAAATTCATACAGTTAAATGTTTCAAGGATTATCAAACTAAACAACTAAACAACTACACCATATCTTCAGCAAATCTAATGCCTATAGATCTAGTATGACCATCATGCTTGATCCTTGATAGTGGTTTAGTGAACGGATCGGCTGGATTCTCCTCTGAAGATACTCTGCTCACAACAATATCTCCATCCTCGACTCGATGTCTTACATAGTGGAACTTTCTAAGTATATGTCTTGAGTTACCATGGTCTTTGGGTTCTTTAGTGAAAGCGACTGCACCCTCATTATCACAGAAGATTTCCAAGGGATCCTTGATGCTCGGAACGACACCAAGATCATCAATGAAATTTTTCAGCCATGTAGCTTCTTTTGCAGCTTCACTAGCTGCTATATACTCTGACTCGTACGTAGAGTCTCCCACTATCGACTGCTTGGAGCTCTTCCAAGTGACCGCTCCTTCATTGAGCAAGAATACCCATCCTGACTACGAACATGAGTTGTCTCTATCAGTCTGGAATCTGGCATCTGTATAACCTGTAACTTTCAACTCATCTTTACCCCCATATACCAAGAACATATCCTTTGTTCTTCTTAGGTATTTCAGAATGTTCTTTACTGCCGTCCAATGACTTTCGCCTGGGTTGTCCTGAAAACGACTCACCATACTCAGAGCAAATGAGACGTCAGGACGAGTAGATGTCATGGCATACATGATCGATCCTATAGCAGAAGCATATGGGACTCGACTCATTCTTTCCTGTTCATCACTAGAACTAGGACATTGAGTCTTACTCAATTTCGTGCTATGTTGCATAGGTAGATACCCTTTCTTGGAGTCCTGCATCTTGAATTTCTTCAAGATCTTATCCAAGTATGTACTCTGGCTCAGTCCTATTAGACATTTTGA